CTACACTGGTATTAGCTACACTCGTATTAGCTATACTCGTATTGGCTACACTCTTATTAGCTACACTCGTATTTGCTACACTCGTATTAGCTACACTCGTATTAGCTACACTCGTATTAGCTACACTCGTATTAGCTACACTCGTATTAGCTACACTCGTATTAGCTACACCCGTATTAGCGTGTCAAGAGCTCGCTGGCGTCCAGTGAAGTGATGTGGCCAGTACACGCGATCTCTCATATCAAATCTCTGTCATGGTGACAGTTGCAGAAAATCACAACAGATTTTTAATAGTGTTATAGTAGTGAAACATGCCATTTACAGGAAAAGTTCAACCGATAATTTGTTTCTCCGCACCATGCATCTGTTGTAGGTCTTTTGTTAATGACGTAGGGGTTGGAATTAATGAGTTGAGAGCTTCGTATAGTTTATTCAACCGACCGAAGATGCACAATCCCAGGCAGGCATAGACAGACGTAACATAGATTGCGTCATACAATTGAAAGATGAGGAGTGCAGTTTCACTGGTTTTACATGAATATATAACTGCAGTTATATAAATTATTACGTTTCTACAAATGTCTACTTATGCTGTCTATTGACTGTAATGATATTGTACGTTTTAAATTCAATAAACATTCATTAAAGACGTTTATTTTACAGGTATTACTATTAACTAAGAACTGAGCCTGAAAAGGGTTGATTTCCACGAATGTTGCTTCTGTACCTGCTTAAGTTCAAATTTTCGGTATAATGCATGTGGTACAGCTACCACTGTTGTAAAGGCGTAATTTATTTTATTTTCTCTGAATATGCAACTTCTATGCATTGTACATGATCGTTGAGCTCTCTGAGAGCTGAGCAGGATCTGACGGTGTGTAGGCACTGGCGTGATGAATGGCCGTGTCTATCGTATACTTAGGGCCTTATTTATCACTAACTTTGTCATTTTAATCGAGCAAAACTAATTGTTAGCCCGCAAGAAAAAAGGCGCATTTAATTGGGGGAAGTTGTTGTAGAACATGCAACAAATTCATCACAAAGGATCACGTACAGGAAGACCATTTGTTTGCCTTGTAGCTACGTATAGTCTGGCACCAGCGTTGCTTCGCCCCATACAAAGCCTGCCATGTCTTGTAGCTTTTTTTCTAGCGAGTATGTAACTAAGAAAGCTCACGTCGAGGGAGTGAGGCTTAATTCTAAAATTCTCTGCAACATATTTGAGAGAAATTTTCTTAGTGTGCAATAACTGCTGTAGTGGGATTAAAATTAATTTATCATTGTTTTACATAAATAAGTTACAAGGAAAAGCATTTATGGGCATGCGCTAATTATTGTTGCAAAAACATGCAAGAAAACCCTGTAATTGATGTGTGAAGAGCAAGAAAAGTAATTAAGAAAGAAGAAGTGCTTAAACCTTTAAATTTATCACAGCAGTAAATAATTTTTAGAGACATTTTGTCTGATTAATCTTAAAGCTTAGGAAGATTTAGATTAGATATGTTGTCCAATACAAGGCATGTCGTGCAGTTAACCGCATTGTGCACCCGGTGTTTGGCCTCTTTCCGGCCTCTCAAGTTTCTTTGTGGTATAACATGGAGATGATTTGGCGTTTCCATATCGTACCAGGCCCACGGCTTAGAGTTTTTGCCGCAAAACAAAGTTGTTGTAAGTACCGAAACACATTGCAATGTCACGGCTGGCTTTGTCTTGAGTGTCTTTGTGTTTAACAATGCAACCTATATGTGAGACCACTTGACTGTACGTAAAAGACTTCTGTGATACTAACTTAAATTTTAAAGTATTAATAATATATAATATAACTAACAAACTTACCGTCATAAAATTTTCTTATAGAGCGCAAAATTTAAACTGGCTTCATTGAATTATTTCAGGAAGTCGTCTAATATGTAGCAGATAGTAGCTATAAAATTTCACCGGTTGTCTTGACTTGGCCCATTGGTAAAAATTGACTCAAAACCCAATTCTTGCCAAATTTAATTCGATTTTAGATTGAGACGCTTCTCGCGTCTCAATCGCAGGCGCCGCGGCCTGGATTTTTGACTGCCAAGTACATCACAACTGTCTGTTATTCCTCCCAACTATACTTATCATTTGGACAACCGCATACGTATTGGACAAGCACACTAGTACAGATAATACATAACTAAACAACTTGACGTATTACCATTAGGACTTGAAATTTTCAACTAAGAGCGATCTGATATTAATTATTATACATATTTAAAGCTAATACGCAAGTAACGAAGCACCAATCGGGTATTTTCAACATCACTAACATGAATTGTCGCAAACTGAACCTCACTCTCGGTGCGTGCAGCAAATTAGAGAGTGCGTGACAGGCTTTTACAGAGCAGTCGTATTGCCTACGAGCCTTTCTGATCGATCGCCTTTGGAATTGGTGACTTTCACCGGCTAAAAAGCCTTGCTATAAATCGTCTATTACCGGCAGTGGCGACACCGTCTAATTAGCACGACACGGTGACGAGGGTAACACCGGTAATGATTGTACTGCATAAAACACACCTCTTGATGAGCAGCTTTTGTTGCGTACTCCATATTACTGGATTGTGTTGACAGTGATACTCATAGCTTCATGGGATATGAAGCAATTTATATTTCTGGATTGAGTTGGCAGTGATAATCATAGCTTCAAAGGATATATGAAGCCATTTTCAGGCGAGGGCGGAAAAAATCTCGGGACCTATGTTGGTTTCCAGAGATTTGAAGGCAGTGAGCGATGTCCGAAACTTCACTGTTGATGGATATCACGGAAGCTGAAGTAAGTTTGACATTTAAAAATATTACTTAAAAATGTATTCTGATCAGCGAATGCGAAACTCTAATAATTATTGTTAAGAAAGGTGTAACATGGATTTGATGGTTCATAAGTTCCACAAATTGAGTTCCATACGAACACAATTGAAATCTGACAAACGATGTGAAATGGTGAAACTGAGACAAATTTAACCAGAAATTGACACGACCTTATCTATGACATAATTGCCATATATAATAGAAATTGACACTACCCATTATAATCGACCTTATAAAAAATATCTATGAAAAAAATTTTTTTTTTTGCATCAGATACCCAAAATCGGATTTAGTGAGAAAAACCAACGTAAACAATGTCTGAGAGCAGCCACATATTTAGAAAGCGAGCGCTGAAATTACCGGACATCGTCGGTGCGTCTCGGCGACGCTGGTCGGCGCGGTGCTAATGACACGCCGCTTCTCCTGAGAATTGCACCTCGACCGGCAGAGGGCGGGTCGAGATCTCTTAGTTTGTTCTCAGACCGTTCATTAGTTGACGCTTTTGTGTCACTACACAACTTCAAGACGACTCTTTGGTGTCGGCTGTGACAACTCTCTCTCTCGCTCTCACTTCACTTCTCTCTCTTTCTTCCTCGAACTATTCCTAGAAGTATTGGTGAATTATGGGCGTATGAGCGAAGGTGTATAGCCGTCTGTCTTTCTAACGCCAATTGAGTTCTGATGAGTATGCCTGTTAAATACTACAATCAACGTTTTAGCGACTCGCTTTTCACATTGGCCTTTTGAAACAAGGGGTAGTTAGCCCTCTCGGCTGTGGGAAACACTTTCCATTCGAATGAAAGTCGCGTATAGTGGTTAATTTGTACTGTAACTTTACGCATGTTACAATTATGTGTGATTATCTTATTTTCCAATTTGCAATTTCTTTTGTACCAATATCTTTGTGTAACACGTCTTGTTGAGCCTGCATTTAAGTTTGTTCACCTATGTATACAAATTATGCTCAGACGATCATCAATCAGCCTTTGCAAAGAATATTTTGAAATTTTTTTCACAGCAAAACACGGAACTTTAGATGAAATAGTACAAAAATGTGTTCGAATAAATGACTTAACGCTGATTTTAAGGTGTAATCCTGATACCTTTATTTGTATTAGCCTAAGAAGAACCATCTGCTCATGTGGCTAACGTCCTGTGCCAAAGGCATTTTCAAATGAGCCATTAATTCTCTAATGTTTGGAAAACGAAATTTTCTCAACGAAAGTTTACAAAATAAATGAGTCTGAGTTAGTTTCTCGCGATTCATGGAGGAGGACAAACTTAATTAAGCATTGTGCTCGAGGGAATAAGGGTGTATGCATGTGTGTGATTGAGTGAGCGTGTTTGTATGAGTGTATGTATGCATGGGTGAGTATATGAGACATCGGCTATAAGGCATTTCAAATTCGCAAGTATATTTACTCCGGTTTGCAGTTAATTATAATACACCTTTCAATTCTTCGTCAAGAGATTTTACAGTTATAATCATTTTAGTTGTTAGTCATCATTAAGTTGGTAAACTTCATCAGAATGATGTAGAAAATTGCCCCCACAAAGTCCGTGATACTCGGTCGTGCACATGTCAAGACTTACCTCATAATGAGAGATCGCCTTCCTACGTACAGAACCCATGACTTGTTTGTACATGAGATACACACAATTTTGTCCGACGCAAATGAGCAGGGTTCTCATCAACATGTCCATCTGTATTGCAGGGGTCCTCGATTGGTATGTCATTCGTCAGTATACCCGCGTTATGAAGCGTTGTGAGCCCAGTAATTACACTCAGATACAGGAGCTTACGTCGACAGCATGTTGTCGAACCCATGTAAAATTTTAGGCTATATTAAAGTGATAGTCGCAAATAATAGAGAAAAGACGCAAATGGACAAGTTATTTGCATCCAAAAAGCAATTTTAGTCAAACATCTCATTACTCTTACATAATTTGCAGGTCTATATATACAACTCCGATTGCCCTCGAGGAGTTTACAGTACATGGTCATAATTCGATTGACCGCCAAACGTTATTTTTGTAAACACTGTGATTCATCAGAAGAACCTCATATTTATTTGATAATAATTATTAGCGGAAACTGAAACACATTTATAATTTGACATATTTTATTTCGTAACTTTTGTAATTATTTCTGCCTATTGTAAACAGAAAAAATAGATAAGAATTAAACTTATATTTTGTAGGCAAGTAGAGTCACACGTAGATTCTAAACTATTCTTTGGTTTGATCGTTGAACATCTCGAGCCTCAAGAGTTGATTTGCAAAACTTAACACAATATCAAAAGCATTTGCGGGTTCGCTGAAAGAATCGTTAGCGAAGTTATACAAACATTTACTCAATTTTCTCTTGTTAAATTACAAATGAGAAATAGGGAGATATCATATAGTTTAAAGAAATTCATATCATTGTGGGATCATTAGAGAAGTATAGGAATGCCAAAATCTAGAAAAAATTTATGTATCTAGAAATTTCTTCGACAATAAAATCTGGAAATATATTATGAATTCACTGCATTACAACGGGAAATACAATTTTCTGTTCATGTTAGAAACCCATAGACAAATTTAAGAACCCATCCTCTCAGATCAGCGCTAACCTCAACTTACAGCACATATATGACCTGTTCTGGATCCACATGTAAATTTTATAAATATGTCCCGAGTTATCAGTGTCGTATTAGTGAGGCTTGAAACTCTATAAAAGTAAAGCCAAAATATTCCAAGGCTTCTAAATGATAACAACAAATGCCCTGAGATTTTATATCACTCACGCTAATGATATGTGAGGCTCCCAGCATACACCGCTGTACTGATAAAACTGTGTGGTAATAAGTTGACCACGCAGTGCCGTTGAAAATTTACGGCTTGCAGCGAGTGATATGATGACAAGCTAACTCAACTTAAGTCAACATTACGCATAGCATGGATGTGCCAAGCGTTTGCAGCTTATATGCTCTAATATTCGTGATTTCAATTCAACATTTTATAACACTAACTAAACAAAAATTGTATAATGATATGCTCATGGCTATCCATTGCATTATTTCGAGACAATCAACAGTTAACTTTATACATACATTCATCTGGTTTTATTTATGTACAGTACTTATTGCTTTAGAAAGTACTACGCTCCACCTGTACACGGTTGCATGGTTGAGGGTATGGAGGTTGGGGGTAGACTGTTGAGGAATAGAGGAGGCCTTACGTGTGAGGCCATTGAGGTTACAGGCATCATGGGGGACATGAGGAAAGGGGCCATGAGGGAGGCCGGAGGGAGCAATGAGTTGTGGGAGATCAGAGGACGCGACGTGAATCTAAGTCGCTCGATCTCAGCCTCCTTGAGTCTCTTGTCTTTGGCACGGCGGTTCTGGAACCAAATTTTGACCTGAGTTTCGGTGAGGTTAAGTGAAGCGCTGAACTCGGCGCGCTCAGCGATGCTCAGGTATTGCTTCTCACGGAACTTCTTCTCGAGGGCGAGCAGCTGTTGCGTCGTGAACGGCGTCCGCGGCTTGCGGTTTGGCTTGTGCTTGCGAAGAGTCACTTTGACGGGGCCAAGAAATCGAGGGCCTTCCGAAGATTCTGCTCAAGAGGAACATTAAATAATTAGAATTTTTTTAATAGGTTATTATCCTATCGATAAATTATCAAATTTCAAACTTTGCGAATTGTAACAGGATAATTGCCAAGAAGAGATTAATCAAGCAGAATCAAGAAGATTCTGCTCAAGAGGAACATGAAATAATTAAAATTTTTATCATAGGTTATTATCCTATCGAAAAATTTTCAAATTTAAATCTTTACGAACTTTTAACGGGATAATGACCAAGAAGAAAATAATTAGAAATTTTTTAAAATCAACTAAACTTTTTAAACAAGATAGCTTAAAATGAACAGATGATTTTGAATATTAAATTTTAAATTATTTCTGGACTGAAAAATACAAGACTCTGAGGCCAGCTCTCACATTAGGTAACCAACCACTTCTTCCATCGCAAATATGAATCGGGAAAAAACTCAGTAGTGATTTACCAAAGAGTTCCGTACAATTAAATTAAAAATGAAAAACTCTAAATACTGATGTTTATTTCCATGAAGAAATAGATTTCGCTCAGTTTTAACATTGAATGAAGATTGATGACTGAATATATGATCAAGATTTCAACGCATTCCATATATACATTTGTGAAAATTCTCGCACAAAAATTATGTGAATAACTAAAATTGAAAAAAAGTATAAGAGAAATCGATGAATGAATTTAATGCAAGTCTCTATCGTTTCTATTTTTCGATAACTTTATATGAGAGTTGGCGTAGAAATGAATTTTTACCTGATGATAAAGTTAATTAAGAACTCATTGTTATCTATACTGAAGCATTTTTAGTTGCAAATATGCATGAATATTTAAATCACTAAAATTCTTCACTTTAATTACGCACTTGCGGCCGTTGAGTATTATTATTTTTAAAATTCTTTATTTTCGTCTGAATATTCAACTGTCAGCAATCGAATTAATCAGATAGACGTGACAAAAAAATTGTTAGAAATTGTTAATCAATTGGTAATCAACTTTCCCGTTAATTTCACCCCACATCAACGATTATTGATGATCGCCGTCGATATATTTCCATCATGAAGAATAATACAGCCACGTTCTCAACTCATAAAGCTATAAAAACTATGATTATAATGATAGATAACCACAATTACTGCGTTGAACCTGAATATGTATGCGGTTAAATTTTCAATAAAAATTATAAAATATGTTGCAATTATTTGACTACTTTAACGATCAATATTTATTTTTAATTATCTATTCCGGGAAGTTAACGTCAATGCAATTTAAATTCCATCTTTGGAGTTTTAAATGTTTATAATTATATTCGCGTTAATACTTTGAGAACTCAAAATTCTTCTAACTTTGATAATGTTATAATTCAAAATAATATAAAATATAGTAACAATAATAATAAATAATGTTTTGTGAGGTTGTGCACGAAAAAAAGTGTTTATGTTTGTGGGAAAATAACAACAAAAGTAGGATTTTATTAATATTATTATTTGCTAGAGTAAACAAATTGCCTGAACATATCGAGAAAAGTGCTTCAATTTATCTATATATTTTAGATAAAGAATGATGAAAACGTGGTGAGGTATCACAATTCATTAGTTTAAGTGCTATTTTTTTAATTTTTCTTCAAGTGATGTTAAGTTGAAAACATGTACATACGTTTTTTCACTTGTTTTTATTCGAGATAGCAAAAATTTAAAATTTTCTCCAAATTTCTATGATTTAATATTCATATAAATCTTCACACAGCTCATTTGTTAAAAACGGGGGTCGTTTCCTTAATTGGATGTTACAAGAATTCTTTATATACTCTACACTTACATGATTGTTAATGCACGAGTACGTGGACTATTGCAATATTTTTTGGATTGTGTTACTATTTTAAAACTTCCGACAATAAAATGACAGGGATTTTTTAAAACATGATATAATAATTTTTGAACAAATAACTTAAATTTTGCACAGAGACGTCTAGACAAATTGATGAGCGTAGAAAGAATACATTTTTGCATAAGCTGGCATGTTATAATGTTCAAGTTTATTTAGCAATTAAATTTTAGCAGTAGCTATTAGTCACATGCAGGCAGTGCCAATGAAAAATCATAAGAAGGACGTTTTTGACTAGAGTTGATTTATCGGTACGCGGTCCGTGGGTCTTGATACGATGCCTGTTCAATAGCTTAACTTATTTAAATTCAACTTTTTGTCTAAAACAGGCTTTTGAGCTAATTATCTGACTAGGTTAATAATATAATGATTTACTGACTATTATCATTATAAAGATTTACTGACTAGCCAGTAAATCCGTACATTTATTGGAATTTTGAGCATATCAACATGAGCTATCAACCAAAAACATTTTATCGCTCTCAACGAAATTCGAGCATTAGAAAACCAACGTGTAAAAGCATGCACAGAATAAAAACAATATATCAATTAATGGGCCCTAAGAACTTACTGTCGAAGTGCCTGAAAGCGAGGTGATGCTGCAAGAAGTTGAACGGTGATGGAGGCCAAGACCCAGGCAGAGGATGATGAGCTCCGGGAGGACCTGGGGCATAAGTCGGGTGCCCCTGAAGGATATGGCTTGGATAACATGGAATGGGGTCTGGGATAAGCCTCATCTCTTCGTCACTTTCATGACTCACGTTAATATCTTCTGATTCATCCTCGTCTTCTCTGTCTTCGTCGCTCCTGCAGCCTCCTTCTGATACCCTTGATGATGTCGTCGAGAGGTCCTCAGGAGACTGTTGGGTTAGAGCCACTAAGTGGAGAGGTTCACTTTTTATTGGGCTAATGCGATGTTGAGGCTGTGATAGTTGTTGGCTATGGGGTGGTTCGTAACTAGAGTGCACTTGTTGAGGAAGATGTGTCAACGAGCGATGATTATTGAGAAGAAGATGGGATTGTTCGACCGACTCTGCAGATGAACACCTTGAAGGTGATCCATATTTTTCATAGTAATCAGCATCGTGTGAGGATAGACCTCGATCTGGCGTAGAAGATTTTATTGAATTTGTTACATTTTCAGGGGAAGAGTGAGCATGTGAAGTAGAGCTGGAGTTTCGTAAAGGGGAGATATGGGAGCCACAAGAAGGGGAATGTTCTGGGGAGGTCAAAACTTCTATCCGCCGGACAGGGGAAGAAAGAAGTCCTCTTGAGGTTGACGGGGGACTTGAGGAATCAGGTCTGGGAGGTGAAGGGGAACTGCTAGGCTTAGAATTCGAGGCTCCTAAAATGGAGTCTACTGAAAAGCTACTGAAACTTTTTCTTGTCACTGTACTGAAGGCAGAACTGTGCCTTGGCCTCTCGGTTATCAGGTCAGCCGACATTTTCCTAGACGAAATTATCGACCAACAACCAACGTTTACAATGAAAAATATTCTTATAGTAAGAACCTTCAAAACAGAATGAATCACTTCACTCGTTGCAAAAGAGGTCACTGTCTCTCATGTACGTTTGGATATGAGTGATGCAGGGCTGGAACAATGAGTTCCCGGACTTCTGAGCTACTTGCCTCACCAAGGTCGCGCTCACAACTGACTTTGGTCTCCTCACGACCCGACCACCACAGCTGTCTTGTATGCCGCTGCCCGGTGCGTTCCTCCGCCTACCGTTCATCCGCCGGGCCGATGTGGCGACGATCCCATGTTGTCTTTGGGAGGCGGAGCTCCTAAACTCCGGAGCCCAACATCGCATCTTCGGAAGGCGGACCAGGAGGCAGCGTTCCTCCCCGTCTGCGTTAAGCCCTTTGTTGGACCTCCTACAGGCGAGGGAATTAAAGACAAACTTGGGCTCCACAGATTTTGGCGAAAGGCGTGCCTTGTGAAGCGATCACCAGCCAATGGTGAAGAAGATTAGGCAGCACTCGGCACGGGCCATTAGCTTTATGGAAAGATTTACAGTTTGGGTGCTTGTCGTTGTCACACGCTCGCCCCAAAAGCCTTCAAATAACTGCCCGTAAACTTTTCGAACTGGTGAGCCCGGCAGCCACTTAAGTCTCTCACAGCATTGAACATCGCCGCTCTCGCTCTCCTCCTAATTAAATAAACACAAATGTCAACATGGCCCCTTCCATTTGCATATGAATTTAGCCAATAACAATAGACATGATTGCGCAGAAATGAGCAGCCCATATGGAACTGCCAATTGAGCCTTAATAGCCTCACGCACGACGCTTTGTACGAGAAACCTCCTCATATTATTGAGGTCTTAATTACGCTCCAGTTATTGCATAGTGTACTATTGCAACACTCGCTCGCAGGGAGCGTCGTAATTGCCCTCTCCATATATCGGACGAGCTCTCCTTCAATTAGCGGCCATTGTTTACACTCAGGTTTTGTGCTCTTTATTCCTCAGGGTAGATATTGCAGACTTTAAATGCATTTTTTTCTAATGTTACTAACGACGACTGTTTTATAATGTTTTAGCAGTAAGCATAACACGGGCGATATATTTATTGTTATTTTTTAACACAATGAGCATAAAAACTACAAAGGAATGGCAGCGCATGGTTTACATTAATAAATATTATATTTATGAAAATCATGCATTCCTGAAATACTCATTGAGACGAAATTAAACCCACCATTGTTGAGTGTGTAACTCTAATACTCGAGACCGTCCTGCTTCATTTGAGAAGTTTAATACGCTACCAGTACACGAACTGGGATAAAAAATTTCTTTTCGTTTTAGTAATATACAATATGCAGCTAAGAGATGCTCAGTGACAAAAGTTTTATAGATTTTTTATCAACCTACGGGTATCACTCGCATACTTTCAAGTGATGCGAATTCCGATCGTCAGGCTTCGTCGAAGTTCAATTTAACCACACTCACTTTGATAATGAAAATCTATATTTTTAACGATGTTTCTTCCTAAAATGTACATTCATAAATTAAAAAAGAAGTATTTAAAATTGTATTTTTTCTAACCGAAAAATTTTTATTCCTAAATAAAATTGGTTATATACATTGTTTTGAAATATCTGATTTCTTTTGCTGACTATTAAAATAAGTTTAATATATTTCAATTAATTTTTCTACTCTGTATACTGAGTTAGAATATTGCTGCATGATAGGTCAGGGACTTCACGTGTACAAGTATTCCAATAGAGGTATGATTTAAATTTATTTACTTATTAAAATAAACTTTAGGTGCTGTTACTAACAACATGGATCATTTTCGTGCAGGGTGCAGAGCGGATTAAATGTCTAACAATAACCACTCTAGTTTTTCCTTTAAAATAAAAAAAATGCTACAAAAATGGATTTTTGATATGGTCGAGAGTGATTGGCGTGAGTAGCGAGGAAGTTATATAAGAGGACGTGTATACTAGTAGTGCTGCTATATCAAATTGCAATCTCGTTGTTAGATGTCAATTGGGGCATCGTTCATGTGATACCCATGGGAACTGTGGTACAGTTACTCCCGTTAGCTTCCTTCTCACTCGCAGTGGAATTGATTTGTTTAAACTCTCGACTTAAGCTAATTTTTTTCTGATTTAAGGTTTACGTATAGACACATGCTTACTAACTTATTACCTAATTAGTTCATTAATTTGGATGTTTGCTTCATTTGGATTCATATGCGAGGTACATACGAAATTCGTATCTGCAGGTGGAAGATGTACGTGCAGCTGTGATGGGCATGTTATACGGGTGACTTTGACTGTTGACTGTACACATTGTGACTCTATTGACTGCGATGCTCCTTTGTGATTTATGATGTTGCGTTGCGGTAGAGTACGGGGCTTGATTCTACGCTTTCGGTAGATTATCGTGGGTTGATTATACGTGTTCCTCGAAATTTTCGTGTGGAGAATAATCCGAATTAATATGCTTGTGTTATTATCATTTTTTAAAGATGATTTAAGGGCGCAATTTTTTTGAGGATGATCAAAATTATTACGGACAGATTATTATTATTAAAATTATTTTCCGGTAGTTAATTAATCATGGGTTGATTATGCGTGTTACTCGAGTTGTGTGTGAGGAGGATGATCCGAATCAATATGCTTGATTAATTATTATTAGTTAAGATTATTTAAAGGCGTGATTTTTGAGGATGCTCAAAATTATTACCGACAGATTATTATTATTGAAATTGTTATCCGATATAATAATCATGGGTTGATTATGCGTGTTACTCGAGTTATCGTGCGAAGGATATTCCAAATGCTTGATTAATTATAATTTTTACGATGATTTAGAGGCGCAATGTTTTGAGGATGATCAAAATTACTATACCGACACCCAGCGCAGTAGTTTGTTTTCTATGACGTTATCGGTGAAAAAAAATTTACATTATATTTTCATCTTTTCGCTAATATGACGCAGCTTTTCATTACTTATTTTGATTCAGAGCCCGGGTACTGATCTAAACCTTAATTTCTTCGTATTGCTTTATATGGCGATAAACTTAATAAATTTGGCGCCTTGAAAATTGCCTTTAGGGCGGGAGATTTGTAAAGAATTTTGCTTAACTCAGATTGAAATTTGCAAAATCTAGTCAAGCCTCAAGTAAGAAACAGAATAACGACTTTGCTACGTTTAATTGGGCATGAATTTCAAACACATGCATGCAGCACTGGTCTCGCATCGGCCACCATGCAATAATCGAAATTTATTTCGCCTAAATACTGCACTAGACTCGTATCGGCTACATATAGTAATTGAAATATTTGGCCTACAAATATCTGCACTGGACTCGCATTGGTCATTTCTAATCGAAATATAAAGTCTAGATTTTATGATGTGTCTATTAGTGATCATGCGTGATTTTATAACACGTTGCGATTGCTCATGTTCAAACAGACATGTGATGATCTGCTGAGGTGTATAGCTACGTATTACCATATCGGTAACACTTGCGACATGGTAACACTATCTATATAAGCTAGTGTTACCGTATCTGTAACACTAAACCAAGAACGAAAGAAATAAGACACTTGAATTGTGATCTAACTATAAGAGCGTGATGACTCAAACGACTTAAATGAAACCATATACGAGCATTTCAAGTAATTTTGAACCGAAACGACGAATAGTAGATTTTACACGATAAAAATAGTGAAATCATGCTGATCTTTTTATCGAAATCATGAAAATTACAGGGAATTATAACTGCACTTCTTATGTGCGTTTTGTTTATTATTGTATGATTAAAATACTGCTCATTGTTATCTTCTTGAAGTTGACGATCAAGAATTTGATTGGCAGCCGAGCATTATTCTTATCGTATCTGAATGCTTAGATGTAGATGTCTTCACATTCTCTATTTATTTGTGGACTATTCAATCCTTTTAGGAAAAATTCAATTTTATAGTTCGTTAATTGTGTACTGACTAGATGTCTTGGTGTTCACTATCATGTGTCACAATTGACTCATGATAGGCAACTACTTCAAGTCTCTGCAAATGAGCGTGCTCTTTTTTCGTGTTAATTACCATCATGGCTAGTGATAGTTGCCGCCCCTATATGAATTAACTGAATTACTAGAGTGAACTAAGCACTCACATGCGTACGCTTCCGCCATCTCATGCTTTCTTTGGTGCGTCACTGTGCCTCTATTGTACGCTGATGGATCGCCGCTTGATACGCAATTAAGTGAGTCTCGTGTAGCTCATCCATGCCTCATCCATCACTCCAATGATGGCTCTCATTGGATCTGCAGCCGTATCATTGATACCGAGAATTTTATTGGAACGCTGCTGGTCGTGAAGAGAATTTTGAAACTTTTTTTCTTATTATTCTAGCTCTATAGGACAATATATTATTTCTTGGACAACGATTGTTTGAACGGGGAGGCTTATTGACGTGGATAATTTTCAAAACCTTTATTGCCATTTGAAAACAAATTTTATAAGCAATTAATTTGTGGTTTAATTTATTCAATGTCAATGATGAGTCGTCGTGCAGCTGATGATGCATCTCGAAGGCCACATAATAATGTCAAAGTGGTTTAAATTTCACTAGAAATCAAATGTTCTGACTATGAAATAGGTTGTTTCTCTTTAGAGGTTGGCGGCTTAAGTGAGGTGCCAACTCAAGTGGTATTGACGTTAGAAGTTATAATATAAATGTGAATTATGATCAATGAAACAGGATTTGAATAACTTGTCATATTATTCTCTCAGTTGGAGGGAGCTTGATCAATATAAAAAAATGTAACTCAGTACTCACTGCAGTGAGTGACAGAGAGCGCATTTTCTCGTCGACGAAAACGTGAAGTCACGGATGGACAGACAGACGGACGGACAGACGGACATGGCGAACACAATAGTGCAGTTTTTACACAAATGAGAAAATGCGCTAAAAATGAACATTTATATTTGTAAGTGCCCATTTATAAGGAAACGCTCGTCTAGAAAACTTAGTAGAAATTATAAATGAACAAATTACAAACATAACACTGCGGGTTGTGTTCATCAATAAATGTAGAATAGCTTGCGGTTGGTAAGACTGAAATGGTCAGAGGTGTCAATGTTGTCTCAGAGGGACGTCTCGTCGTCTCCTATCTCCCTATCGCGGCCAGCACGGTTGTCGAGTTATCTCTTTTCATCCTAGGATTAAAATATGTTTAGCTCTCATCCTCTCC